ATTTTCAATTTTTTTTTTTTTAACTTTTAGTCAATTGAATTGAAAGGCACAATAATAAGTTGCTTACCTATTTATTGACCAACTTAATTACAGAGGACATCTCCAATTTGGTTTGACTGTAGTGCATTCTACATTTGATTTGCCTGTAGTATATTGTACATTTAATTTGACTGCAGTTTATTGTACTATTTTATAAATAGTAATTTATATTTTATTAAATTAATCGCTTTTCATATCTTTTACTAATTAATAAAAATTTAAAACTCTCCACATATTTCAATTTGTACTATTATACTATATCTTGTTTATCAAATAAATTTATTTTGTTAAACTCTTAAAATTGCAATCGGTACTATAATTTGTATGTATTATTAAATAGTTTTTAGATTTATTAAAATTTAAAATAATATTAAAATAAGAAAATACTTTTTCACATTTTTTACGTCTAGGCTTCGTCTAGACTCGCCTAACCCGAAACCTCCATATTTTACCACACATTACACTCTTTAGAACAATGTGTACACGTGGATTGAATTTCTTATTTTTTTTATATTTGGAATTTGATTATTTTTTTATTCTAAATTTCTTTATTTTGCTCATTTATTTATTTATTTTAGTGACAAATAACATGTCATAAAAATGTTTAACTAACTCAACTATTTATAACAAATCAGGTCGGGTTGACCTATATTCATATTTGATCCATTTAGTTAACAGATTATCAGATTCAGATTTTGATTGAGTTATCGAACTAACACCCTAAATCCATCTTCAATTAATTTCATCGGATTAGGATTAAAATCCAATCAATTGACAACTCTACTCATAACTTGCTCGTCTCTAACATTACTCTATTGGCTCCATATTTTTACGTCTTATGTCTTACCTTCTCATAACTCAAGCTATGGCATTTTAATTCAACGACACTTGATCTTGCAAGGATACAAAGCTCAAAAGCTCTATCTTGTTCGAGCTTTCTATTTCGAGTCAAGGTTCTTGCATGAACTTTAACTTAATCATTTATGCACATTGACTGATAATTCTTATGTTACATTAAATCGATTTGTACCCTGTTTTCATGTGACAAATCAAGCTTTTACCAACCGCAATTTATTAGTAAAAATATAACTAGACAGTGTTTAAAAGGAACCAAATTTATACGTGAAAAAACTTATAGAAGATAATAAATATGTATTTATATAATATTATTCTATCTTACCTATCAAATCCTGAAATGCCATTGGTTATTGCAGAGAATACAAAAAGAAAATATCTATGTGAGGTTGTAGCTTTCAAGAGAAAGAAGCCACAAATCAGCTCAACAGATCGACAAGTGTCCTAATATGTTACATCGCACGTCAAATGTTGTTATGGTCTTATGGAATTACGGCGAGGTTTGTGGTCCAAAAATTATATATTAAAATTTTAAATAAGATTTTATTTGGAGTTTGAATTTTAGAGCAAAAGCATGTGGGAGAATCATGGAATTTGTAGTTTGATACGTCATGAATAGTTTTATTAAAATGAAGTCACAAATGGATAGAATTTGACATAGTTAATTAGAATATATTGTTACCTTCGGAGGATTTGGTGGGACTCACTGTGAATTTGCACGTCTTCACTCTTCATATTGTGCACACATAATTTGTATTGGAATGTTTGTACATCGCATATAATAAAGAAGAAATAGACATGAAATATTTGTTAGTGATTCTAGTCGAGGTTCTACTGTAATAGAAATAACTCACTGAACCGCTATAAGAACACTACGATTAAAGACAATGTCGGAAAAGAAGTCATATGTTAAGAAAGTTTGTTAATAAGACTTCGTCGTTGAAACTCAGTTTAAACATTGAGATTTTGAATAATCAGACTATCTGAAGTATCAAGTTTTTTGTATTAAAATGTTTTATTAATTTTTAATATGAAATTTATCGCGAAATTAGCATACGGGGTTTGGCCAAATTTAAAAGAAAAAATGTATAGAGAAGTTTTTTCTTGATTTAAAATATTGTTTATTTGACAATGAAAATAAAGAGGGAAGATCATGTTTGTATCTTTTGCTTGTTGTCCAAGAGAAATCAAGACAAATATTTTAGGGTCCCATGAATCAAAAATATTATTATTGTTATGAATGATTGGAGCAATTGACATAATAGAATTTGGTTTTTTTTTTTTCCCCTTATAATTAACAGGTTATAATACAAGTTCCACTTGTTTTTGGGGTATTGAAAAATTATACAATAAGGCTTCAATAAATTATCAACTAAGAAGAAATTAAGACAAGTAATTAACGTAGTTAATGTCACTAACGAATTAATTACTATTTGTGAAAGATCACAAATAGTAAAATCCCATGTTGAAATAAAGCAAGTCATTACCAACCAGTTAAATAGAAAGCAAGAAGTTGTTAACAAGATGAACGGTGAATTGAATTTTTGTGTTAGGGAATATAATTTGAATCGCTTGACAGGGTTTTTGAAAAGTCAAAAGTTGCTTTAAAAATTAAAAAAACTACTTTTAAACATATTTTGATAATTCAATGGCTTAGATTTTAAGTTTGGTCTATTCTCATAGCCTAACGAATTTTAACTTGGCGACTTAATTTAAAATCGACGACATAATAGTTAAGTGCTTACCGTTGCTCCATGTCCATCTTTTTCAAGATCCTTCATTGAAGTTGGTTACCTCTTCGACGTGCAACATTATGATAAAGAACGTTGTCACTCCAACGCATGTCTTTTGACGCTTTTACCGAGGAACGCATGTTGTGGGCAATTTGTAGCGTACGTACCAAGTTACACTTATATATAGTAAGTTCGAGTTTATATTGTATATAAAAATAAGGGAGTTATGACAGTATGTGAGTAAAAAATTGGATACGGTTTTCTCTTTACGTTCTCATAATGGGTGACACAATCGATAATATATATCGAATCAGCAATCATCGTTAACCGCAAATTCCAATTAACTTTTTAAAATCAATCTACTCAATGTTAATGAAATCGACTCATTTCGACTCGATCCAGTTCTTGACGAGAATTGTTTGTTCCATCTAATCAAGATACACCAAACATTTCAAAGACTTCATTGCAAGAATAAAACTTTGGGTGATGCTACCGGTAC